TGAAAACACTTTTTGTTACGATTCTGAAGGGTGTTTCTTTTTAAGAAAGTAAATTTAAAATATTGGCTAAATAACTCTGAAACCAAATCTATTTCCAGCTCCTATGTTCAGTTCAATCATAGCATTTGCTCTGCACAAACTATATGAGCGTTGTTACTGAGGACTTTGAGGTGCAAATAAATTCTGGCTTTAGAAATGAATAGAAGTCAAGAAGAGTCCCTGCAGTGGCAGAAGTCCATCAGCGATGACAAGTATTTCTCACTTAGAAATACTTATCAGTGTAGAATGTCAATACTTCCCATATTTTCAGTTAAACTTCATAAGCCTCTGCCATTTGCACGTATCATATATAACTTGGTCTGCAACTGAGAAATGAGAAAACGGAGATTAAAACTGACCAGTGATACCAAGGAGAACTATTTACGGGAACTGACACAATAGTAAAAGACAACTCCTTCTTCTTTAAATACTTAATCAGGGAAACATTTTCCCTGGGGTTTGAAAATCCTTCTACTATATGCTTAGAGGAAAGATATGGAAAGACTTTCCTTGCTGGTAACTCCATTTACAGTCCTAGAGCAAGGCTAAGGGGAAATTAGAGAAAAGTTCTTCCTCAGAAACAGTGTGCTAGGAAAGTGATTATTTTGTTGGTAAGAAGGAGAGGCTGTGGGAGGATGGATGCAGCAGGACTTTTGCTGCCTGGTCAAACCAGAATGTCTTCTGCAAACTAAGGAGATGTTTTCAATCAACTGGCGCTACCAAAGAACTCTGGACACTTCATTCTTCATGAGGGCTTTGTTGTTGTGGGTTGTTTTTTTTTTTTTATTAGTTGTCATTCTTTGACATGATGAATACTTACAGCAGTATGTTAAAAAAGATACAGTTAAGTCTCTTGGCATCACTGCATAGCAGTCACAGCATTTTCACACAATCTAGTGCTTCCTTTCAGAATGATGCATATGGCATATATACGCACATATGGGGGCTGATTCTTGGTCCCAGTGAAGTTGGTGGGACCAGTGTTTGGCCCATAGAGTTGTATAAGATATGTGAATATGTATATATAAAATGCTTTACAATAAACTTGACATATACAATCTTGAATTCAAAGATAAGCAGAATATATTTTACATCCAAGTCAAACTTACGCTCTGCACTTAAAGTTTATGTACCTAAAATATTGGATGGATTACAGAAATGAATAATAGAATAGTAGTTTGCACCAATCAAAGTAATGTGGATACATATTCATGGCATGAGCTTGCCTTGCATTTGTGTTTTGGGGTGACTTTTTTGGATTTGCAGGATCTCAATTCAAACTTAAGTATTGATTTTTTTTTTTGCAAGCCATGAGCAGGGGACGGTGGTGTCGGGAGGGAAATGGGTATATTTTATGGACAGCTCAGCTGAGTGACTTAAAATAAGGCTATAAATTATGGCTGGTACACTGACTGATACCTGAAAGTAAAATTATAACTACTTGAGTGTTTCTCCTTTCTGAGGAGAGTGCATTTGGAACGGCTAGTATGTGTTCTGCATCCGTTTTGTTGGAAACTTTTAACAGAAATTTCAACCACAGATTGGAAAAGCTGGTGAGATAGCTATGCAGTGTGAAAAAAATGGGCTTACCTCATTTACTGTGGTAGCAGCCATCTCACAGATCATTCAGGGAGACTTTGATTTTCCTCATGAAAACGAATAGTTTATATAAAAACCCATGTTGTAGATTAGGTGAGATACAACTGCAGATCATGTGTGGGTTTTTTTTTTTTTTTTTCTCCATAGACTCTACTTCATCTCAGCCACTCCCCTCTCTGTTTCTGTATTTCAAAGGTAAAGATTTTCAATAGTCCTTTTTATCCCCTTTTGGCTGGTGGCTGGAATGTTGAGCCTTAAAAACCCAAAGGTAGGTAAAATCTTTACTTAACAAAAATGCATATATATGCACCATTTTAACCAGCTTGAAAGTTTCACTTAGCACATTTTTTTTTGTTATTATTATTATTTATACAGAATTTGCCTCTTCGATGGTATGAAATCTGCATTTAAAGAAACTAGGTTTTAATCAAACAAATCATTATTTGTGGGGCATAAAAGCTTTTCAAGCTCCTGCTTTTAGCAGTTTTCTGCCTCTTTCCTTCTATGAAAACCCCAAGTTTTAAAACTTCAGAATCTTTTAGCTGCACTGGCCCGATAAGAAAGAAAAATAATTTACAAGGGCTTGCTGTAAAGTGGCTAATAGGGCTGACAAGACAAAAATCTGTATTATCTGCATAGATGTTTTTCCATTCTGTGCATTAGCATTCTGTTGGCATCCTGGGGAGAAATCCCAGTACAGAAATGTCCTCTGAACCAGATAATACCAAATATGTATGATCACAGCTGCATGTACTGAGCACCGGTGCTGTTGGACTGGCTGTATTGGGTACGGTTTGGCTTCTTCGGCGAGAAATCAAGCGGTAGCATTTTGCATCACAGACCCCAGGGAATCCGGTGGCCAGGCATCTGCTGCCAGAGCCAAACTTTTCAGCACACTTTTGTCTAGAGCACCTGAGGCAAACTGGCCCAGACCCAAACTTGTGTAATGGGTTTAGCTCACAAGTACAGAAGCATTTCTGGAGCCGCCCTGAACCTATTTCAAGCATTGTTTCATTAGACAAGGTGACTGAAATCTAGCAAGTATGTTCAGCGCACCAAAAAACCCCACAACCTGTTAATTTTAAGAGCAGCTTTTTAAAGTTGGGAAGTTTTAACTTGGCGAGAGCAGAGTTGTAACAGACCCCGTAGGCTCTAATTACAGAAAAGGTCTTGGTTTTATTGTAGCTATAACAGAACTTGATTTGTACCTAAGCTTTCCTGGTGGACCTATTTTCTGGAAGCTCCTCAGAAACAGCTCAACAATGTATCTGTCAAGAGCTTTTTATGCTGCTAGACACCGTGTGTGTTTAACTACAGAACATTTTAAAAAATTCTTTGAACTAGATGGAAAATGGCTTCCATTTCTTAGTAAAAAGACAAAACAAGGGAAATTATATCCTTTTGTATGTACTTAAGTGCTTCTAAGGAGCACATTACACTGCTCGTGTAATGTCCTAATAATTGTCCTAAATCTGTCAGGAGAAGGAAAAATACACCTAAAAAGCTGCAAAGTGGTGATGCTTCCGCCCCCACCATCAGGTGGTTAAAAAGACATTTATGTCCTGTAGTTAGAAATAATTTTATTCTACTACAAGTCTCTCTTTTTGCTTGTTATGGTACTTCTAATATGTGAGTCCCAGTTAGAAGATGAAGGAAGAATGTTTTCTACTGCTTATAGCTTACAAAACAGTAGCAGAGATGAAAAACATCATTCTAAAGATGCCTTGTGTTCTCACAGTGATTTCCACCTTCCCACTTCACTGGGTTTTAGTCTCTTTGAAGATATATGTCCAATGAATTAGTATAGAAAAACATCCTTTACTGAAACTTACGCTTTTTATTTTCCTTTAAACGTATTAGTCACCTTATGAGCATGAACACTTTGTCTAATCAATATTCCCAGTATTTGAGAAAAATTCTATTATATCTCCCTTTGCACTTTTATGACTAAATATTATCTTTCTCAAGCACCAACTTAAATAGCTCGCTCTTTATTGGCCTCTCCAAGGTATTCACGGTCAAACATGTTTATATGACCGTATTCCCTAGTTCTTCTGGAAAACAGCTATACAGATTTGATGCACTGGGGGGTTTACAACACCACTAAACTTCACCTGAATGCAATTAATTTTTCAGGGGGCAGAGGACAAGGGGACAATCGCTTTGGTGCAATGCAGTAGTGTCCGAGAATACAATCTCATTGAAATGATGGAAGCTTAAGTAAAGTTTTATTCAGACTGTCTGAACTGAAGTTCTTTATGGCATAGATAAGGCCATGTATCTTTCACAAACATGAGACCATAAAAAAATTCCTCAGCTACTATGATAGTTAAGAGGATTTTTCTTAATAGTCTGACTACGACACATTTTTTTCCATCCTTGAGTGAGACTGATCTAAAAGTCAGCTGAAGTATCTTTTTAATGAAAAGAAAAAGACAAATGCATTTTGATGCTGGCTATCTAAGAAGGGAATGTATGGAAAAAATCAGCTACACTGCAACATCTCTCAAGAAAACAACTGGACTCCAGAACTATTAGGATGTCATGCTTTGTAGATTACTAAGCTATTTAATAAAAATTCACACTCTTGAATAAAAGGTAATCAGGCTGAACCGACAAATTATGTGGTGTTGCTGTGGGTTTTGGGGTTTTTTTTTTTGAACTTAAAACTTCAGGCTCTGTGAAGCATTTGCCTAGACCGAATGTGCAAGGTGCCATGGATTAACAACACGGACCCATATGGAATGTGTTTGAAGTTTTCAAGAAATTATCCTGCCAGACTTCATTCCTTAATGACCTCTGATACACCTTGGACAGCGGAAAGGCAGTTCAGAATCATACCTTGTGATCATATGATTTTGGCAGCTATCAGAAGATGAAGGATGCTAAAAGTTAAGGCTTTTATCCACAAACAATGGTGTATATTAATAAACTCTATACCATATTTACAAATGCTTTCTCTTGTATTAAAACTAACAGTATTCTGTTCACAGTGCCAATGTTTTTACAGGTAGCAATCCCACAGTACTCCAGTATTTTGGCATGGGAATCAGTAGCGCTTTGTATTTACAGAAAATGTACACATATGATTATAAACATGTTACTTGAAACAGTACTCAAAAGATAGATCTGTTTGTGTTTCAAAGGTTTAGACTGTACAACACCTTCCCTTTTGGTTGCGAGGGAATACGGTTCCTTGCAATGAGAAGATGCCCGTCTTTTATCCAAAGTGGCGTAAAAATGATTACCAAAATGAGCCTTGTTACACTGGAGTTGTGTATACGGAGAGTAACTTCAGTCCCAGGTTTATAGATCTGTTGTTTAGTGCACAGAATACAAAAGTTAAAAAGGATTTTTGTTTGAATTACTAAAATAACCAGACTCTCTCTGCCCTCTGCGAGTGTTGTCTCACTCAGCCAGTGTCCTCTGGATGCTGAAGATGCTGGTGGTTTAATGCGCAGCCCAGCTGCCACCCTGGAAAGCATATGGCGCTCTGGGCCTATATACATATGTCACAGTATGACTCGTGGTACATGAATATATAACCAAGAGTGCCCCTATCTCCCCCGTTCTCTCAGTGATCCTCCCTGCTCCACGGCCGCTGTAACCAGCCCGGCTTCAGTACCGCTGACTGGGACTCCGCATTCAGGCAGTTCATGATCAGAAGTGATGAATGGCATCAGGCATGACCAGAATGAAGAGAGGGGAGAGGAACGTGAAGGAGATCCAGAAAGGAACCCAGCAGAACCGCGGGCTTGTTCGTGAGGGCCCTTACAGCTTCTGCTTTGCCGTTTCTTCCCTTTCCACGGTCTTGACAACAGGCTCCTAGCTCCCCAGGATTTTGTTTGCTGCTGTGATCAAGACGGAGATCGCAGTGCCAGAAGGAAAAGTGCAAAGCTGCCACTAAGGAGTCTCTTTATTTAAAGTCTGTTCTTGGCTGCCAGTCACTTGACCTGAGTGGTCACTGCTCCTACTACTGCTGTGTTGCTTGTGGAGCAAACTCCTCCACTTGGCCTTGTTCCTCCTGAGATGGTTTAGCATATTTTCAGATAGGGGGGTATCGCCCGTAAATTGGGCCCACCTCTCAAAGAGTGGCTCTACGATGTATGTCATGAACCCTGGGGAAACACACAAAGGACACCAGGTGAGGAACAAATTCATTCCACGAGCGCATTGCCCCACAGACTGCCTCGAGAGGACACGGCAATGGAAGTAAGTGGCAAAAACCCTGGCAAGAAATAACAATAAACCCTCAAGCAGCCATCAGTTTCTTTCGAAACGCACAGCTTTTGACCAGCACACGTGACAAGATGTGGCTCGATCTGTATGTGTAACAGTAAAATCTGTGAGAGACAGCATCCTCCTCTGAGGAGATTTCCAAGTAGAAAGTAACCAGTGTTTAATCACATGTTGAATGCAGTTTTTCTCCACAGATATTGGAATGGCCCTTTTTTTCCCTATGCAATGACTCCTTTGTCTTTCTATTGAGTATTTGGCTTGGACAGGTTTCTTTTTGAACATTTTTATTTAGAACGTGAATTGTGACTCTTACGGTACCTGCAGTTCTTATTGTTAAAACAACTAGACTGGGGGGGAGTTTCTCTGAGCTTCTGCCATACTGAGATAAACACAGAGAGAAGAAAATGAAACTAATACTTACCGATCTGTATGCTTGGTATTGTATCCTTCTGCTGATTACAAAGGGGGCTTATTTCCAGTTCAAATTTTTGTTCCAGGTCACCTGCAAAAAAAAAAAAAAAAAACAAACACAAAAAAGAAGAGAAAATTATTTTCTGCCACTTTTATCTCTTCTCCATAACTATGCCAGACTCTTACAGTGACTGCAACTGTGGAGATTTGAGCAGCTGGAATCTTCCACCAAGGATGACCATGTCAATGTCTAAATATCTAATTTTTTTTTGGCTTTTTAGGGACCAGAGAAACTGAGTATCCATACAAAGAAAAAAATCTCTCTAAGGAAAGATGATTTTTGACTGAACCTTAAATCTGAGCACTTAAGTGTTCTGAAGACCTTAATTTTTAAAATAGATTCTCTCATATGAAAGATTTTTCAGACATTCTAGTTCATTTACTCCCTGTCCAAATGTCTTCCTACTAGAAAAATTGTAGAATATAAATTTTAGAAGAAACGCATCTCCATTAGCACCGCAGTGTGAGTTGCTATTGCGTACTTGTGGAAACTGCTGTTAAAGGGCAGCGTGATGGAGCCCGGCAGTCCGCAGCTGTGCTGGCACCAACAAACCAATAAGGGCCAGAGCACGGGCTTGGGCAACGTGTTCATGTGTCAAGAGTTATGGAGTTCAAGTTATAAAGGTGGAAAAAGGATGAAATTAAAAGTTTGCCTTATTGTTGTGGTGTAGCTGGGTATCAGGGCTGTGCCTGTGCTGCTGCACTGAACTTTGATCACGAATTCCCTGGGTGGTCCAGGAAGCCCCCAGAGACACATCTGCACAGGACTGACTCGAGCCAGCAGACAGACACGAAAACAAAGTGGTTGACTGAACTCTGAGCCACCTTTATAGCAGAGTACTTGACTAAACGGAGCTGGAGGTCTCTAGGTGCACATCTGGGGCTGCCCTGAAGATTCCTGCAGGCAGCTCCTGCTGTGGCTGGCCCTGGGGTCTGCCTCAAATTGTTGAAGAACAGCCTGGCTGGGGGATCTGCTCACTTCAGATGCCACCTCCAACTCCTCCTGCTGCAGAATTGACCAAATTTGGCATCAAGAAGATGCTTATAAACAGTCATCCTGCAGATGCAGAAACGGTCACGCAATACAGTCTTGTGTATATAGCTAAGACAGGAGATTTTTTTTTTTTATGTAGTTGAAGGTAATCAATAGCAATAATATGCGTATGCTGGAGTGGTCACAGAGGACCACGGGCCTGCTGGATTTAAGAATTCAGCAGAAAAACAGCTCAGGGAGTCTCATTCGCCCATTGCCACCCAGACAACAATCACTTGTCCTGCTGGAGAGATGCAAGCAACTACTCCATGCAAAGATTGCTGTAAACAAGTTGAGTTTTGGGGTTTGATTATTTTTTTTTTTAATAATTTTTTTTGTTGTTAAAACCAGTCTGTCCGAGTGCAACACATTCATCCTTTGTGACTGTTAGCCTCCTCTGAGACACTGCCAGGGCACAGTCTTGGTTACTGCACGAGGTACAGGACCTTTCCTGTCTACAGGAGGGGAGGGAAGGGAGGCTAACTGTGTGTGTGCTAAGATGTGCCACTTGCCCTCAGACAATATTTCATCCATTTGATTTATTAATAAGGATGTACTGAGAGCTGGTTACGCAAAACTTCCCCATAAGTAAGATGGACCTGCTAGATCGGACAAAACACTATATTCAACCCATAAAGAAACATTTTGCTTTAAATCCACTGTTTTTGTCTAAAAGCTCTGTTCTCCCCACTAATAGATTTAAATGCTATTGTGCTACTCAGGTTCTATAGCCCTACATAAAATATCATGTGCATTTTTAAGCCTTGCCTTTCTTATCCCTGCAGCATGCAATTTCTTCTTAAATATGAGGGGAATACTTTCAGTTTTAGTTAGATATTTAGAAGATATCAGGGAAACATTTTTAGCTTGACAAACAATCAAAAGGAACAATTCAGCAGAAGTGAGGCAGAATAAGAGTTTGTCATGTTTCCAAACGTGCAGTTCAACTGTCATCTTCTCCTCTACCCCCTCCAAAATTTTTTGACTGAAAAAACCCTGTGTCTAACTCCAGTGATGTCCCCTCCATAGGTATTCTGGGTTCAAAACGGATGACCTGTCTGTCTCAAAGTGTATCAACATCTTCTTGTCTTTGACAATCATTTAATTGACAAAAATAAGATTTTTCCTTTGCATGATAAGAACTTAAATGATGGTAAATTTTATTATGTTTCAAGCTGCTATAAAAGTAACTGCACGAATTAGTTGCTGAGGACTTTCATGCTGGGGAAAACCTTTCAAGCAATTTTAAAACCTCACCAGGGAAACCGGTCACTAATGCTGCTTAAACATTAGCCGTTTTCTGGAAACTTGTTTCTTGCTACTTCCAGTTTTACATAAACAAATCAAGTTGCATTACTTACCCTGTGTTCCTAATTGACTTTTAGAACACCTGACAACAAGTTAAAGTGTTTTCCTAGGAAAGGTTCGTGCTAGGAACTGCTTGATAGAAAAAAAAGTGCAAACTTTGTATGCGTCCCAGAAGGAAGATTCAACAAGGCACTAATTGTGGTGTTATCTGCCTGATCTATAGTTAAAAAATCAAAACATGAGAGCTATGGTCTTCAAATGTTAAAGTTAGTGACAAAAAAGTCCTTCAAGCCTCAGCAGTGTGCAGAAGGGGGCAGTGAGGTCTACAATAACATTTTAAAGTGATAATGGTATCTAAATACATGCTATGTAATACTGGGGTTTGTATCACCAGGATTATACAGCCACCAGTGAAAGTCAGACCACAGTTTCTGTACATTCTCCCACATGAAATGCTCTTTTTCTCTCTGTTACGCTTCTAACTGGTCTCATATGCCCCAGGGTCCCCTTTCAGGCATCTCTTTTAGATGTTACATTAATAAATCTTGAGTCTTGGGGGGGAAAAGCTTACATTTGTAAGAGCTGAGCACGCTGTCATTCTCAGCATGGTCCCTCAGTACACTAAAGGTGAGGTATCGCACAACCGGGGGGCCCTGTCCTCGTGAGCTGGATACTGGTTACGCCTTGACTATACATCTGACTAAATAAACCTGCATCTGGCAAGTTGCTTCAAAAGCATCAAAGTCACAGACATTTCACCAGCTTAAACGGACACTGGCTGAAAATTAACTTGCTGACCTATTTGTCCTTGTTATGGACTAAATGTACCAGCTACCAGCTCAGATGTGGCTTAATTTTGTAGTGCAGACTGTTAAATGAATTGCGAACTTCACTGCCTGCTCTTCCAGTGTTTGTACCACTTGCCTTCAGCCCTCACGATGCTCTGAACAAAGAATTTAGCAGTGATTAAACTCTGCTGCACCCCCTGTTGTAGCACAGCGTGACCTTGCCTATGCAGATAGAGCCAAATGGTGTAATTACTGCGTTTCAAAAAAAACCCTGCCTGCCTGTGCTCTCTGCAGGGGTTTGAAAACATTTGCAATAGGTCCTAGCCGAGCTTTGGCTTTGCCTGCTTTGGCCCTTTCAACAGCGCGCTGGGAACTGCGTTTGAACCCTTTCTCTGCATTTGTAGGCAGAAGAATGTGTCATATTTGGGAACCAGCGAGGGTAAGGCTCCCATCGGAGTTGTAGCGGGAGCGTGAAAAGCAAGATAAAACACAGCGGACGGCAGTAGGCCCTTGGTGCGGTGTAGCCCTGGCACCGTTCCAGCTCCGAAACACAAACGGCGACGGGAGGGTTCTTGGAGAAGAATCCAGCCGTGGGCTCTCCAGCCAAATTCAAGTGCTGAGACACAGCAGAGCCCTCCCTCCCGCCTGGACGCTGCTACAGGAGCAGTGAGGGCAAAGCAATACTTGCCGCTCTTCTACCCCTTCCCGCTTCGCACATGAGGCAGAGCAGCATCTCTTCATCGGCTCGTTCTTGAGGGGCATTTCAAGGCAAATTGGGTAGGGGTATGCTGAATGCTACCTCCCTCTCGCCACACAAAAAGCCCGGAAAGCCGAGGTGAAAGGGGACCGCCGCGCGTGAAGGGACTGACCTTGCCGGTAAAACTCTTCGCAGACCCGTTCGCTCCACTGTTTGCTCAGATCCCAGAGCCGGCAAGGGTTGCAGATGTCAGCGCACTTGAGTGCGATCTGAAAGCAAAGAAGAAAAAGTAGCGGTGAGAAAAGAAGTTATTGTCTAGCAGTGCTTCAGCAGTCAATCTGCGGTCATGAAACTCCCAAGCGGCACCAGCGATGTTGGGAAGGGTTAAGATCTCCTTTTAAAGACACAGCCTCACCCAAATATGCCTTTTGAGGAAAGAGCATTTATTTAAGCCGCAAACAAAACTTTCATTCAGCCCTCCGCTTTACCATAGTCAGAACAAGAGGAGGGCCAAATTCCAAGGCTGCAAAGTGTTTTGGATATTCCTTGCAAGGAATAAGCCAACAAAAGCCTCGGGCTGGCTCCTGCTGACTGCCTGGCTCAGCATCCACGGCTGATGACAAGGAAGGGAAGAGCCAAGCTGGTGTATTTGGGCATCATTTCTCTGCGGTCTCAGTGAGTGACCTTGCATCTCACTTCAATTACACTTCATCTTAATGTCTGCGTATTTTTGTTTACAAAGCTAAGCACAGGGCTCTCCGCACTGCCCTTGGCTTGGCTTCACTTAGTTAACTAGTACTTTTAAGTGCTTTGCAGGGGAATGAGTACAGGAGGTTTTTAAAATCAAGTAACTGCTTCAGAAAAGTAAACCATGTAATAGTCTGTCTGTCTTACTGCCTTGGAACAAGATGTCATGTGCCTCATTTCTTCACAGACTGAACACAGTCAGTTAGCCTGACAGAGGTCAGAAATCGTTCTGGCACCCGGGAGGAAAACAGAAGAAATATTTCCTGTATAAATTCAGACCTGTGAACTGGAGGAGGGAAGTCTCCAAGTCACTTTTCTCTCTGGATTAAATTGATTAGCCTTAATGTTACTGTCTATTACAAGGACCTTTCAAACATTCTTTAACTTATCCCAAACAATCGAGATATCTAGTTTTTTTTTTTTTCCCTTTTCTTCTTCCACAACTAATCCACCAGATAAGTAAATCTCACCATGTTTGTGCCTTAGCGCCTATCTTCAAGAAAGCGCCTAAGAAACGTTTTGCCATAGTTGAGATCTGTAATCCTTCTGCCTTTGGCATTTGCACAACTTTCTTGCCCAATCTGTCCAGAAATACGATAAGCCCATCATCCTGCCCTGCACGGTCCATGCAAGAATCTGACAGAAGACTGTGTTTGATGGAGGACAGGCAAGCAGATTACTACATTTCCCACGCTGCTGAAGGGGAAGAATTAACAGATCAGCACTTCTTTCCTTGCAACAACTGTCACCTTTCCTGTAACCTCGACAAAGTGATAACATGTAGATGTTTGTGTTTTAAATGATAATGATTACTTAAACTCTTTTATGTATTTAAGAGTGAAATGAATGTCATTTCTCCAGAGAAGCATGTATGTGCAGCTACTTTAATCACAATAATGCTTTAAGAGGTGGAGGTTTATTCTGAAGAGCCTGTTAATGAGTGCAGCTTAGCTGGAAGAACCAGTCTGAATCTATTTGATCTTTAAATAAAGCATCCTTTCTTCATCAGCTGGGCAGATCTACTAGAGAAGCACCTACTGCCATGGTAACAGCTGTCTCTGCAGAGGCAGTTCCCGTACATCCATCACAGGAACGGGGCTTGGGCACCTGATGTCAGGCTGCCTTGGAAAGAACACTGGCAAGGGGGCTAGAAGTGATGTTTGCCAGAAGAGAGACTATAATCGAAGCATTACCTGGCAAGAGAAGCAGCAGTCTGGAAATAAAATCATTAATAGCTTATCTTTGTTTCTCAGCATTTGACACTCTCCTGTATCTGTGGCATTTGTAGCTTTTTAACTCAAGGAAATTACATAAGGAAATACTGGAGGCACTTTATGCTTGCCTGACATGCCAGGCAGCAGAAGGAAAGTGTTTATGGTGATAGGTAAGGAGATGCTGACGTCCAGACACACTATGGTATGCAATTCTAACATACACTAGGAAATATTGGGACTTGAAAAATGAGTAACAAAAAATAGTTGAAAAATATTTTTTAAAGTTACCTGAAGCATAAAATGTCTGTCTTGTGCATCCTCCAGCCTCAAATCCTGATTGTCAAGGTGAGATTTCAGACGGATCAAAAACTCGTTCTGCCTGTTGATGTCTGTTGCCAAGATCAGGGAGCCCAACTGCTGCTCGATGTCCTGTCTGCAATTAAGGAAAACAAGCTCCTTCGATCATGGAACCACTGAACATTAATAGCTCAAAACAACCTGCTACAGATCATAGCTAGCATAAAGCTTCCTCTTTCTTTATGGATCCAGTCTGACCTGTTTGGTCAGACTCTGCTGGGGTTTGCAGGGTACAACTGTTCTAGCTGCCTACATGGGATCAGGAGGAATAAATAACGTAGAAGAAAAATGCCCGTTGGCAAACGTGGTTCTGAAAGCTTCTGAAAAGTGCTAGGGAAGTAGAAAAAAAAAACCAAAAAACCAACAGAACAGCAGCATGATGCATCTAGAAAAATGCTCACGTCTTACTTCAGCTGCTCAGAGCTGGGTGGTGAATACTGCAGCTTTGAAGTCGCAGCTGAAGTTGTGAAGGACTGGACTGAAGTCCTTTAAAGTACAACTGAAGTTGTTGGTCTGATGCAAAGGATTTCTGGAGTGATACAGGGCTTATTTGCTTCCAGGTGACTTGTTTATATTCTTGGCAAGGTGACCTGTGATTAAAATTTAGTATTGCAGGTTGTTCATTGGCTCAATCTCCATTCCTTGGTGGGAGTAACACTGCACAAAATCAGCAAGTAAAAAGTTAGCATCAACTTGGCCCAGGCGCTCATGTTGCTGCTTTTTTTTTTTTTTTTTTGCTTCACCCCAAAAGATGGTGAAGACTGAACCACATGTCCTCAGTCAAGCGTGGAAGTCCTGAGCAGTCTCAATGCTACCTGACCAACTCCTTCATTTGTCTCTCTATTTCATGCCTTTTAATCACTGAATCTTTCCATATTCGGTTGGTGCTACGTAAAATGAAAAATGCCAACAATGGATCTGAAAAGGTCCAT